TGGCTACGGGTGATTTGGGTGAAAATTATCAATTCCGGCCTATTCCGACCCTAAATTTTGGTCGATCTGCTGAATTTTGGTTGCGTCATATAAGGAAGTATATATACTTTATAACCGATAACGATAACGATAAAAAATCTGCCAAATATTGTACAACAAATTAGCCAATCAGGTCTGTAGTCATAATATCAAAAGACTATAAAAAGCCAGTTGTCCGAGATTGCAAACCAAACACACTGAAAGAATGGGGAAACGAACGACTTCTTTACTATCATACGTAGTATTTATACTGTTACTTATCGTATTTCCTAGTTGCTTAGAAGGAACTTCCCTGACATATAATGTAGCAGCTCACGAAAGAGCCTGTTTTTATGCTTGGGCAGACAAACCAGGTGAAAAGATTGCCTTTTATTTCGCGGTAAGTTTTTTTTTTTTTTTTTGCTGATGATATAGAATTTATTTTCTTTAGCTTTAAGGAATGGACAAGTTTGTAATGTAAACGATTTGAAGGTTATTCATAAATATTTTAATGATTATATTAGGTACAAACTGGTGGTTCCTTTGATATAGATTACGTCGTAACCGATCCACGTGGTAAACAAGTAATTAGTGGTGAACGAGAACGTCAGGGTGATTTTGTTTTTACAGCCAACTTTGTGGGTGAATATTCTTTCTGTTTTGCAAATGACATGTCAACATTTGCAGAAAAGCTTGTAGATTTTGAGATTACCATTGAAAATGAACCACGGGCTGAATTACCACCATCAAAAGGAATTACACCAGATCAAACAAGTAGCATGGAAGAAAGTTGTTTAAGGCTTAGTAGCAGTTTGAGCACAATATCCAGAACTCAAAAGTATTTTAGGACGAGAGAAAATAGAAATTTCTCCACTGTTAAAAGTACCGAACATAGAATTTTATGGTTTGCTTTATTGGAGAGCATGCTAATTATTGCAATGGCCGCTGTACAAGTTTTTATAGTGAAGACTTTCTTCAATACTTCTAAGCGCGGTCATGTGTAAAAAAAGATGTCCGAAAATGTTGGATGGTAAAAATGCTGATGATGAATCATTCTCCAAATGATCAAAAAAAACTGCTGTTATCAAAAAAAACTGATTGCATGTTTTAGAAAATTCATATTAACAATAGAACATTTATAAACTTATTTTCTTTTCTAACGAGGACTACCTTTTTAGTAATATTAAATAAATTATAATAGTGTAACAGATTATCAAGGTCTTAATACCTGCTAAATAGTCCTCAATTCCGGGCGTTGCTCTGAGTATAAGGTTTTTAAATTATTTTTTGTATTAATTTTTAAATAAAAATTATAATTCATTTGTTATACATATGATTTGTTTTTTTACAAATTGTATTTTTAAACTAAATATATTATTAATAAACTTTTAGATTATAATTAATATAAAAGTTTGTAATACGTAGGTTAGAATCTTATTTAGTAAAATTTTCAAAACTTATTTTTAAAAAACTTTATACAGTGCGTACAACCTAAAGACAGAAAATATTTTAAATGACTACTACTTTTGTTCAAGCAATTAATTTGCTAAAAACTCATCGTTATTTAATAGAATATACTTAAATAAATCTAATAACGATTAGATTTTTTTTAAATTTCAACTATTAAGGGAATATTATTATAGTGCTATAGTGCCGTAGTGCTACCCTATATATAAATACAAATTGGTGTAATATATAAATCAAGACAATCTAATCTTTACAAAAAATAAAACTTTTAATTAGGTTTAGATTAAAGCAGAGGTTAAGGTTAGATAGGGCATAAAATTTTGCAAGGAATTTTTTTTATTAGAACACAAAAAATGGTTTTTTAGGAGAAGTTTAATGCTCACCAGTAAATTTCACCAGCCCAATCAGAATTGAAGATCAGGTGTAATATGCAAATCAATTTTGTGTAACAAAAATAAAGAACTTTTAAAAAATTGCTAATAACTCAAAATTTTATATATGAAACTAGCATTGATGTTCTAATAAAAAAAATTTCTTGCAAATTTTTTTTTTTTTTTTTTAATCTTCAAAGGTGAGACCATGCCTCTATCTTTATTAAAATCCAATTAAACTTCTTTAC